GTAAAACGTGATAGCCCATTCCATTGTGACATGTGTACAGTCAGATGGATCGTTAGAGGTTATAGGGATCAGGTTCCGTAATCCACACCGAAACACGAGTCACTGTACGACCATTCAGCTGCCTGTGTGGGGATCCCCTATCCGCCATCCGGGGATGTGCATCCACCGCACGATCTGGTATCTTGAGTGCCAGTGCACTGCGGAATAGGGGGCAACAAAGGCGAAGGAAGTGCGGGGGGGGGGGGGGAGTCGGGCCAGAGCTTCTCCTAGGAATTACTCCCTCTGTTGTCAGGGCCAGGATTAAAGACTCGATGACCAGTCAATTCCAGGCAGAGCCTTTGCAAATCTGGGTCTCCTTTGTATTACCCATAGAGAGTTCGGGTTATGGACCAAACGTGCATTTCCATTAATTAATAAGTTAGTCAATGTATCAGCTGCACTACATTGGGGAGGCCACATGCAGGTTCTGACTTCTGTAGCGAAGCAGATGAAACTACCATGTGGTCTGTCATTGTGATTGTGACGCCTTGATCAGAGACATCAGTTCCTTGACGACAGTTACTGAGTTACCTGGAACCAGGAACCTGGAAGGATGAAGCAACTTCGGCTAAACAAGGTCCTATGCTTCATTGAGAGGCCCTCGTTCTGAACCCTAATGGCCAAAGAAAAATGTAGGCACAGCGAACCTTTGGTGCTGCCTGGTCGAGCTCCCCTTGTGAATAGAACAGAACACGGAGTTATTATCACCTTTATTAGCTAGATATCTGAGATTTCAGCACAATATCAAGGCTCATTCAACTCTGATCCTATAAAAAAGGCACATCATGATCATTATTCCTGTTCATTAAACAGTATTGTGCTGTAGGTGGGTACCCATTCAATGACAGTACCAAGAATATTCACGTTCAATTCAATCTTATTTATTACAAAATATTGTTGACTTCCTTTCGTCCATTTCTGCTACGTAAAGCAGTAAACGAACAGATCCTAAAATAGCTCATAATTAAAATGAAAAAAAGTGTGCATTTTAGGAACAGTTATAGCAATCGTGTCTGCAATTTTCATATGAATACAACACAGCAAGTCCTTCATTTAGCCACCGCCTTCAGCTGTTAATTATTTCTAGGCACGTTCATGGAATACGTTTAGATTGTATAACAACATGGATTTTTTTCTAAAATATAAATATTTAATGAAGGTAGGTATTATTTATAAAGCTGAGAGGGACATGAATGGAATTTTATTTGCGCAAAGTGCACGCCTTGCATACCATAAAATACTGCGAAACTGAAATAAACAAATGGATACATTTTTGTTCTTCGAGTTCAATTGATTCCGAATCAAAAGAAATGGAAATTTGGCAAACTAGAAATCGCAATTACTGCAGCATCCACTTCCTGGTTTGTCACGATTCCAATCTATCTTGCGGTTATCTGTAGTTAGTGTGGACCATTCCGAGAATGCCTGCGACCTCGAACGCAACACGAAGACGAAGCAGCGCCACTTGCTTGGTCTATTCGTTTAAAAGCCAAATGCACACGTGTTCACTATTTTTAATAAACGTCCACTTGTTACGTAATCGATAGTAGTTGATGCGGTTGGAAATTTTCCTCAGTCTCGTAAATTATTCTCATTTACAGAAAAATTGGTAATCGCCGCATCCGCATCAGATCATCAGCCAAACAAGCAAAATCACAAAGCGTTTATGTCCTGCACTGTTCCTACAACTGCAATTCAATTTACGATGCCAATAACGGTTGTATAAATTTACGGACACAACTTTACAACGGTTACAAAAACTGGTTGTGGTTTTATAAGTAAAGTAATTAAATTACACTACGTAGAAATTTGGTAGTCTCGAAATTTGTAAATCAGATTAAATCCAGTCCAGCCAGTCCAGTATAAATTATAGTAATTAGTCAAATAGAGGTTACACTCTACTCGTACTCACGTCGTAAAAATGCAAAATCATGACGTTTTCAACTTTTTTTGATAGTGTTTAACACTTTAAACTCTCCTCCAGCGTACACGCATTTCTTGCTTACATTATTTCCTCGACGCAGTTGTTATCAAATCAATTTTAGGAACTTAATTTTACAATTAAAAGCAGCGTGGAATCTAAGATTGAGAGGAACAGGAAGGATAGGCAAATTGAAGACTTACTAACAAAGGTTAACAGACTGGAACAACAACAAAGGAATAAATTCCTGGAAATTCATGGAGTTCATACCAACAAAAATGTCATCCCTGAGGTCAAGTTAATGAAGCTGTGTTGAAGTTTGCTAAACTAAAGGAATTCAACTAAAAAACGGAATTTAACTCGGTGGAAGAATAGGAAACTGTCAAAGAAGCGAGTGAAATCGTGGTGGCGACAGTTATCAGAATCCGATATGAACTGTTACGCGAGGTGAACGGAAGAACGGACGCGGACATATTGTCTCTCAACAGATGGGTCGCGTCCCCTGTGGGGTCGCAGAACATGTCCCAGAGGGTCACGGAATACAGGGGAAAATTAAACACAATTATTGTTTTGTTTATTTTATTCTTTTGACTTAATTTTTGAGTGGGCTTCTTTAATAAAGAAACACAAAACAACTATAGAGTGTAGACGTGTATTAAAAAATATATAAATAATTCATGGAAGGAGGGGGGGTGGAGGTCGGCAAAACAATACTCAACGTAAACATGGAAGCTTGAGAACCACTGATCTAAGCTTATTCAAATTAAATTTTGTACTATAAAGCACAACTTGGATATATCCTACCCATTGACTTCAATTTTCAATTTCAATTTCAGCTGTGCTTCAGAAACAATTATTACTCCTTGAATAAGGCCTTAGAAATACTAAGAATACGACGTTATTTTTTCAACAAAACAAGATTTTCATTTTCAATGGGAAAGTTTCTTACTGATAGTGCGTTTTGTAATAAATTATTTTTGGTTGAGTATCACTGTAATTTTTTATTGAAGCCTATTGCTATCGCAGCTGGTTTAGTTTAACGAGCTCTAATAGTGCATAATTTTTAACGGGTAGGCTTTACTCACTTCGTCTTCTTTTCCTTGAGACTTCAATTCACAATTGGTAACATTTAACAGTCGTCATATACATTTTTGAAAAGTTCATAAATGACGGTTTAACTGCAAAATTTCTTAAGTAGGATTTTATATTGTATTTATATTATCCGTTCATCTGTTCATTCGTTCGTGTGTTTGATAACCACGTCTATTTTGATCAAAACATGTCAAAATTGTTATTTATGCCCTAAGATCACTGGGAACAAGCTCACAGGAATTATATATCAGTGGCCAAGACATGCGCTTTTGGTAACCGCGTGTGATTTGATAAAAAAAACTCAAAACTTTTAGCTGTGGACCAAGATCCATTTTTGATAACCGTGTATATTTTGATCAAGGCTGTTTTCAAATAAATGCCTCCAAAATAAATTGAAATTGTGAATATTCTTCGATATTCCGTTGTATGGGTTAATTAAGCGGGCACGATTATTCTTTGGCATTTTTGTTCGAGTGTAGCCATAAATTATAAGGGACTGCATACTCATTTAGAATAGTTGTAATAGTACCACATAGCAGGGGTGGAGCCCAGGGGGTTATTGGGGCTGTAGCGCCCTCCCCCCTCCCTCCCGACATGACTTTGCAAAAACGGCCGCTATCTTGAATCTGTTTAACAATTCACCGCCTTCCAAAACATGCGCATACCAGCCCCTCCCAAATCAAGTTCTTGGCTACGCCACTGCCACATAAGATGCGTTTCATCTATTAAATAAACAAGAGATACATCCACAGCAGCTCCAAGGACCATAGGGAATATTAAGTATCAGCATTGAATAAAAACACTATAAGAAGCCTAACGCTTATAAATAAACAAGAGATACATCCACAGCAGCTCCAAGGACCATAGTTAGGCTTCTTAATATTCAATGGTATCAGCCAGATCAAAATTTCAGCTTGCGAATTTTCCAACTACAAATCTTGTATATTTCAAAGTGCATCGAGTTATTCCCTCACGTTCAAGGACAGCAAAGTCCCCAACACATTAATTTAAGTTCGTTCTGTCCTGATTTCCGTACAATAGACATATATGTGCAATTTTTAATTTGGGTCGTAGATCGCGACTACATTGGGGGGAGGGTTCAAATGTCGTGTGGCTTGAAAATCGGACCTCTATCTTTTTCTGTCAATTACTACCCTGCGGCCAACTTCTGTTTATGTGCGTGTATATCACACGGAGAAACTAAATTTTTGCCTGGAAGCTACAAAGTGGTGCTAAGAACTTGCGATTAGAGTTCGCATCTCAATTCTGCTCGTTTTGTCTTTAATTTTTCCACACTCTTCGTTGTATGTCCGTTGATTAACGGTCACACATTAGAATTTTTAGTGTGGGCCTCTGAGGTTAAATCTTCATCCAAATTAGGCCTCCATACTGTGCTTACCTACTTGTGCAATTGACAAGAGGTTGCACTTGGGTGGTGGAGGGAATCAAAGAAAACGTTTTTTTCCAAATGCATCAAGTGTCCAAAAAGGTTGCAATACTACTTTAGAAACTACCAGAAAAGTTTCAAAATTTACATTTACACTCTCTAACGATCATCGTAGAATGCTCGGTTTGAAGCATTACATCATTTTAGCTACCTACATAATATCGTCGTTAATTTTGAGGCAAAACGTGGTATGGTGTCGCAAAAATCAGCACAAAACGAGCACAATGCATTATAGTTTCAATTGTACTTAAAAAGTAACTAGAATTTGATTTTTAATGAATTTTGAAATTCACTGCGACAGTAGCCGCCGCCGCTATAATAAATTTTACGACACTTTGTGATAGTGAATCTCAATAAAGACATAAATTGAAACTCTACAACTACACCATAAAATTCTTTACTTAATTGCTTTATATGATCTCGGTATTAAGTTAATTATGTTCAATCGGATATACACAACTCTATTGCGAAATTATCATATCTTACCTTACATAACAAGTAATTAAATTGTACGTACCTATCTTGAATACTGACTACTACGTACATCATTTTGCACGTTTCGTGGAAACAGGTGAACAGTCATTAAAACATCTTGTGATTAGGTAGGTAAAATTTATACCTGATGCGTTAAAATTTTTAAGATTGATGCTTTTAGGTCCCCAAACACCTAAAGGTAAGTTTCACCTTGTGAATTGTATAGGTAACAACCAGGATTGAAAAGGCTAATTTTAAACCGCTCTTTGTTGTTTAGAGAAAAACGTGTTATAAACATCCCTAAATTCTCTGTTATTCGAAACAGTATCTCATCTTCAAGAAATCCGCTTCTTACGGCGAACGGAAGACCCCATAATAAATGAAAAGTGAGATGAAAAGTACACCCAGGTAAAGGAGAACGAAAACGTTTTGAAACAAGCATCATAGAGTGGAATCGGCCAACTCTTTATACTTTATAGAATTAAACGAAAAAGAAAATAGCTTACGTACAAACCTAAATAATAAATTTATTCTGTTAAGGATTTAGGGGATAGATGGCAACAAATATTTCGACCAAATGCAACAAGTTCGCATATATTATGTATTTAATGAGCCAGGGGAGAACAGTTGTCTGTGTATCATAATACTATGCGATCAAAAATGCGTTGCTGTCCAGTTACCTTTGGAATTTTTGTTTTCATGGGAAATCGTACTTAACTTGAACTTCCAAAGGCGACTCGACAGCAACTCATTTTTGATCACCCGTACTAAAATCTACAATAGTATGATATGCTCACGCGCATTCCCGCGCTTCTAACTGATATTTAGACATAGGGATTTATGTGTATTGTTTTTCCATATGTCTACTTTTAAATGGCAAAATCTCTTCTGAAAGGTACCTAATTTTATGCATCCAAAATACTATTTTTAAAACAAATAGACATCTGGCTTTCATATTAATTAGTTTGAATATTGAAAAAAATAAATCTATTATGCCCTTAAACTGTTACCGGCACTATTATACAGGGCGCCCATTGTGTATGGAATATAGCATATATCTCGGTAAATATCGACTTTATAAAAAAAATTGTATATAAAAGTTGTATAACATTTTATTTTCCATAACAAGGCATTCAATTTTTTCATTTCAGTAAACAAATGAGTTACAAATAACGCTTTAATTTTTTTAAAATCACAATAGGCTTATTATGCTTATGGCATATAGATCAACTCTGCAAAGTATGAACCGAATCGGTCCAACCGTTTGACAGTTATCGTGCTCACGGACAGACGGACACCATCTATTCCCCTACAAAGCTTGCATGCTTTGCTCTGCCGCTTAATAAATGAAGAAAATATGCGAAACTGAGGAGGATCAAAATATGTATATGTTACCGGCAAACTGCGAAATCCGGTATTTTGCGAAATGACCAATGCAGCAGGGAAAGTGATAAATGGAACTCGAGTTCGCACTTCTCCTGTCTCTCTTTAGGGATTTCGCAAAATGCCTAAACGTTCAGGCAAAGTGCGAATGCTCCGATATTTTCCACAGATTGCGCGTACAGCGGTGCCAAACGTAAAACGCGTTACGTTTGTACCTTCCCCCATCTGATATATTCTTTATTCTCCACACTAAATCCAAAGCTTGACTCAACAGAAAACCCATAGATGAAATGCAGTCTAAACGTGAGCGCAATATCTGGCGAGTACTTAAATAACATCGCAATCGTACGCGTCGTTACCATCCAATGGCAACGCTGTATCCGCAATCTGTGGGAAATGACGAAGCCTTCGCACTTTGCCTGCATGTTTAGGCCTCGGTTTAGGCATTTCGCAAAATCCCTAAAGAGAGGCAGGCAAAGTGCGAACTGCAGCTCCGTTTCTCACTTTGACTGTTGCATTCGTCATTTCGCGAAATGCCTAGGCATTTTGCAATTTGCCGGTAACATATACATATACCTTGGAAAGAGTATTGTTGGTGGTCTAACCATGTACAATAACTTATTGCAAATTGACTACAGATGGCCCTTAAAGATTTACTGAGTTTTCAAGACCAAGGAGTTTGAGTTACATTATATCAATATAGGACTAATTGGAAGAAATCACTGCTAATCTATTCAAACTGACCTTTAAAGTTAAAATTGACACACTTAACTCCATTACGATTACAGTGACTTTAAAATTAAGAACCCAATAAGCCAGGCAATAAGTCTTTAAAATTGAATAATAATTTGATGTGTGTAATTTAAGCTTTGAGTTGAGTTGTGTTGTAATTTATAATAATAAGGTACATGATCAGTCAATAATAATTCTTGGATGATACGCAGATATTTTTCTTCAACCTTCGTCAATTGAATAATATTTTCGGTTGTTGAGGTGAATTTCGTTCGATGTGATTTTATTCAGTAAAGCCAAATATTTTTGATGCAACCGCAATACTTCTTCATGGAACCGTTTATTTCTAGTGGGCTTCATAAACATTCTTTATGAAAATTACAATCGGTGGACCGTCTAAAAATGAAAGCTCTGTATACCAATGGACTGAGCCTCGGGTTGAGCTAACTCATTGTGAGGACACTCTGTATACACGGTGTCCATTTTTCGAGTGCCACTATGGAGATCTCGCTTATCTTAAGAGATAGACATTTGGTTAAATGAGGGCAAAGTTGCGAATTTTCGTGTTGAATAATAATCTGAAAAGAAATTTAAAATATCTTCAATAGTTTTGAAAATATCGCAAAAAAAAACAACATTTCTGATTTTCGTTTTTAATTTTTTCATAGTAAACTAATCGTTCTAGACATTTCTAATTAACACATTATTCGGACACTTTTTAATGGAGATTTCGAATATGGCATCCCGTTTTCAATAACTTTTAAGATGGCGGAGAAACACGTGGCAACTTTAATTTTTCTTATGGGCGCCGTTTTGGATTTTGACATTTTGAGATTACGAAAATATTATTTCTTCTTAACTATTTTGTTCTAATTTGAATTATAATTTTCTTGCAAAACGAAGGTTCATTTATATTCAGATGAAAATCTCAACTCAACTAGTTCCCTGCCAACGCTCTAACCAGACAGATGGATCAAACTGTCATACTTTTATTCACGATAAAAGAACTTTTGTTTTTCCAAAGCACACTCTTCCCGAAAAATTAAAAAGTGTCTGAATAATGTTTTTTTGCGATATTTTCAAAACTACTAAAGATATTTTTAATTTCTTTTCAGATTATTATTCAGCACGAAAATTCGCAACTTTGCCCCCATTTAACCAACTCTCTATCTCTTCAGGTAAGCGAGATCCCCATAGTGGCACTCGAAAAATGGACACCGTGTATAGTGACGCCGAATGCCGGCTTTATACAGAAAATCGATTATCGTTTTATATATGTCTATTTGAAAACGATTTCTTCTTGATTTTCTCTTCCTAAAGGATGAAAAATTTTTATAAATATATCAATTAGAATGTTTTGCGTTTTTCAGATTACAATATTTAGATTATAAGCGATTGCGATAAAATTAGCATTTCATTAATGCCATCCAATAAATTCCATTGTACCCACATAATTATGGACGCTTCTACTTCCAGTAATCAACAAGTGAATGAAATTTGCATAACCCACATATGGATTGCATTGTTATTCTTTTCATTAAAAAAACACACAATTATCCCATAAACACAAATATAATGAATATACAAACCTTGAGCGCGCAGAAGATGCAAGACTCCGCCATACACGCGTGTCCTGAAAGATCCCTAAAGCTTCGTCTAAAGATGTCCAGATGCCATAACACCTGCAAGAAACAGGGACAACGTTAGGCACATGTTATAGGGTAGGCAAGTGGCAATAATATACAACATATACAGCATAGGGTGGATGATATAAATATTCATCAAGCACGTGTCATAGGGTCTAATTGTTACAAAGTGGTTCATTTTTTAGAAATCGGAAACCGAAAACAATTCAGCCTTATGGCAATTTGTTAAATTTTCCATTGCAAATTACTTTGCTTAATGAGTTGAACACCGAATTTTGCATTTTTTAAATAGACGAAACTTTCACGAATTAATTTATTATTAACCACTTTATGATTTTGATAATTGGCCCAATTCAAATACTATAAAACCACAATAAAATTCAAAATATAGTATGCGAATTGCGAAGAAATCAAATTCAAGGTTTTTGCCGGGACGGTTGCGTCCCCTGAGTAACCTTATGTTTACAAGACAACAGAAGCATAAAAACACAATCACTGGTATACCTTTGAAACTTGCAAAATAGCCCTTCCTGGTTGCGATTTTCCCTTCGTCATGATAAATCCGTTATTAATTCACTATCACACACATGTCTCGTCACTTTATTTCAAATATATCGTCTTAAATCGCCATTTAAATCTTATAACGTACACAGTTGCGTGAACAACAAGTTACCTGTACAGGTGAGTTGAGTGTTAAGGTGAGTCGCGGAGGACGGGAAGTTGAACTGCGGCCATTGCTTTAACAAAGCAACTGAGGGGGGTGGGAACGCAAACCAAGTGGAACTATGAGACGAGGGGAAAGATAATAATCCCAATTTGAAGGTACTACTAAGCAAAAATAAGTGACCTGAGAACATTTAAATTTCAACTAATGCTATACGGACGATTAGGGCAGGTAGCTTGTCTCGTCTACTTCCTGATTTTTTTTACTTTAGTCTTATACAGAATTGTAAAAATGACAATTTAGATTTTAGATGCTAAGTCAAAATTCGAAGATTTTTCGTAAAGAGTTCAAATTTAGTGGGTAGTAAAAGACGAAGGTTGTAAACGCGCGGGAACAGAAAATTAAAAAAATACTACGAGTTTATAATGGCGTCTGTGTGTAAAATTGTTGGCCTCAGGCAGTTCAAGTTTTGTGTCGATAAAAAAGCGGCACAGATTGAATTCTTAGGCACGCTTCAACTTAACAACGAGGTACGTTATTTTAAAACCACTTCAAAATAAGATTTAAATCTGCGGGTAACCTAGGTATTGAATAAGGTCATTTTTAAAAAATTCAGGGCGATTTATTGTTCATTCCGGATCAACAAAAAATGAAATAAACCCTCGAATAAACCTCTTTCGCGAACGCGGCTTATGTGGTGTCATTAATCTTGATTTATTTGGAAAGGTTACCGCGGTTACGTAACGTAAATAGGTACAACAAAAAGACATTATGTTATCCAGTAATCGAGAATATTAGGAGAATTAGTTTAAAATTACAAATTGTATTATATTTTTTTATAGACAGCCAGACTGGCGGGAAAACAAAAACGAACTGCATTCAGTGATTGGTTGAAGCCTATAACTACTATGGCCAATAGCTTTGAATTGTATTTTATAATCAAAGACCAATAGTAATGAACTATTACTCGCCCTCCGTTTGCATAAAAGATATTATTACATTAGCAAAATATTCAAACTAATTTAGGAATTGGTTACCTACACCTGCAGACCTGCCTAACATTTCCGTTACTTAAAAATCGATCGATTAGAAGTACGTACAGTGTGTTCAAAATTATAAGTTGGTATAATGATCCATGTGAACAGTATGTAGGTATATGATTTCGTAAAGTTTTCAGGTTCAGCCTTCGTCTTTTTTATCGCATTTTCGAAAAGGAAAATGAACGCTATTGTCAGCACTTTGTCCGTCTGTCTGTACCACTACTAGTCCTCCAGTTTAAGCCTTTTCGTCGTGGTTTCTTTCTTAGGTATACTGTGTAATGCAGCTCCGAGAACAAAACGACAAAAGATTTTTTGGATTGGTCACTTCCTTCCCGAGTTATTAAGTACTGATTCTGTGCGGAAAAAATGCGCTTTCGTGGGTCGCGAGTTTTTAACTTGTTTTCGATTAAATACTATTTTTGTCCTGAACGCATGATACCGCGCAGCATCTTTCGTTGGTGGCAACAAACAAGATTGAAATTATTTTTGTCGAAGATTGGGCGAAACATTGGTAGTGGGCTTCTTCCAAGGTGTCTTCTTCCACCATATAATTTATAAAGCAACGAGAAAGCGCGCACCAGCGCCTGCGATGTGCTCCGGTGTTGCATCCTAATGTTTGAATATGCTAATGATAGTAGCGAATCCTGCTCTTTTCTGGAGAAGCGAATCAAATTTTATTTTTCCTTGGCCGAAGATCGATGATGTCGTGTCACAGGCACTAAACGCATGGAGAAGCATGTTCTCAGTCACTTCTTCACGTTTCGAACTATTGGCGGAATATAATCTTACAGCAATTCTGCCTCTTCCTGGTTTGCAAAGGTAGATGTCATTATGAGACGGTGCTAGCGCCGACAGCAAAGCAAGCAGATCGACGTCTTTGCCAACTATGAAAACAGCATCAAATGTTGAGCAGTGGTTGTCAATAAGGGAGCAAGTTTCTATGACGACGGTATAAAAACTGTTACAAAAAGCTTAGGTCACAACAAAAATCACTGTGATTTGAAATAAATATCGCTGTATAAATTTATAGCGTGGCAAAAATATTAAAAACAAGTGCAAGGTGTTCACACGAAATTTACCGTCGAAAATTGGGAGTTTTAAATAAATATCATATTTTCGCCGCTGCAACTCGGAACATATTAGAAGTAAATTTTAATTTTCATTGGAACCCTTTTTTCCGCTGCGGAGTTTGAAAAACCAATTGTTTGTACTTATCATCCAAGATGGCGGTGCCAGCCCCCCCCCCCCTCCAAGTCGAAAATATGTTTTTTTCAAGGCCCAGACAGAATATTTTAATATATATATTAATCTGATATTTTCAGTTATCTAGGCGGAGTTCATACTGAGACGATAGAAGGAAGAGGAAGAAATCAAGGGAGTGAGGTCAGGCGATCATGGCGGCCACCTTACTGGATCCTCACTGAATCCGGAAATCTTTCATCAAGATATTCCCGAAGGGAACGGTTGTAATGTGCCACACGTCGTGTTGGCGAGTCATTTGTCGTCGAGTTGCTATAGGGACATTTTCCAAGAGTGGAAATTCATTCTCTTCCGTCAAAACTGGTTTCCGGTTAACTCTCCTTGGTCGTTTTGCACTCTCAGCAGTTGTAAAGCTATTCAATATCTTTAGAAACGCGCGTGACTCTGGATATGTTCTACCAGGATATCTCCCAGCGTAACACTCGTGACACCAACAAACAACTCCGGTAACATTCTCCAAGAATAAACACCATATCAACCATTTCTGCTTGAATTTGGAACATGTTCGCATCGTTAATTACAAAGACAATGATACACCACCGACACTTTACTGTTAATTATGACAATTGAACATCTTTTGTTTCATCGTGGCAGACTTTGATTCGGAACAGAACATTTTTTTACAAATTGGCGTTTCGACTTGTTTTTTCTCTGAATTTTCTTATGGAATGTGTGGTTTTCGACTATCCAGAGCTATAATTTGTTTAAGGGGTGCCATTTGAAAATTTAAAAAAATATGACATTCGGCCACGGTCAATCAAAAAAAGATAATTATGTGAGAGTGGAAGAGGTCTTATCTTGTACCCCAATTCAAAGCTTAGCCGCCAGCCCACGTCAGTTTCTCTAAAAAAAATTTTAAAAAACTGTCAAACTTTGAGGAAAAAAGGTTGACAGTGAAATCGTTAAGTTAAGAGTATAATACGTTACATAAAATAACTACTTTTAAAGTGACTTTTTTCGGTATCTTTTATGGTAAAAGAATTATGATCCGAGCGGTTTTAGATGCTACACTCTGTACACACAAACCTAATAATAAACTGACCCTACTACTTCTGATCCAAATAATTATCCAAAAGATTCAAGAAACCTTACAATAGTGCACTTTTAACACCTTTGAAGAACATAAAGTAATTATATTTTAACAAAAACAATACGCTTTTGGAAGAATTTGCTTTACTTTTTTCAAGGCAGGAGGTCTAGGTTCCAAATTAAACCTTTCTGTAAAGGGGAAATTAATCCCTGACGTGGTACCTACTTATACTTTTTTTGGAATTCAAATGTTAACATTTCTGACACAGCATAGTTCATCACAGCCAGTGAACTTTTAGTAAATGGGGGCAATAAGCATCCCGGCTTCATTTTTTATTTCTGATCTACAAAGTACATTAAAAGTAAAAAGACCCGTGTGTCCTCAATTTTTATTTGCGAGTAAAGTAAACCCAAAATAAATTATTGAAATGCTGTGTTTTTAGTCCGAATTTGAAACGCTTCAGTCTAAATACGTCACAAACCTACAACCAATCACGTAGAAGTGAGCCGGCAACCTTGCGCGAGGCTCTGACGTTTGTCGGATTTGACATGTTTAACTGCATCTAACGCGAAAGTGAACGACAAGTGACAAGTACCTGTGACAGGTGACGCAAATTACAAATGACATTCTCCTGCAACATTGCCAATTCGTTATGTCATCTGAATGGTTCTAGGAGCTGATTGGTCGGGCTTATTACGTCACAGAGCCCGCCACAATCAGCTCGTTTTGAGTCAACTCCTAATATCGCACATGTTCATTATTTTTTTGCTAATCAGTCACTATTTTTAAATAAACTTTTACTGTCCAAAAAAATGTTTTATGGTTTCAGGTACAGGCTTATTAAATTACAACTGCGGAATTCAACTATATTGTAAACCCCTATTGTTCCATAAAAAATACGTCACTTTCTTTGAAACTTTAACCATAGATGTATTGAAGATCCATTAAAATTAATCACCTTAAGGCGAAAACCTTTTTACTGGGATTCCAGCTGGCGTAATTATTTTATTATGAAATCATTTTTCTTTCAAAACCACGATCT